AGAAAGGAAAATCCCTTGTCATTATTTTACTTCAGTTTCTGCTAATGCTAAATGTTATAATTCATCCCTTTTTTTACTTCCTGAACCTTGCAAAGGGCAGCACGGTGGCTCAGTGGTTAGCACTGCAGCCTCACAGTGCCAGGGACCCAGGTTCAATTCCACCCTTGGGTGACTGTCTGTGTGGAGTTTGCACATTCTCCCCGTGTCTGTGTGGGTTTCCTCTGGGTGCTCCGGTTTCCTCCCATGGTCCAAAGATGTGCAGGCTAAGTGGATTGGCCATGCTAAATTGCCCGTAGTGTTCGGGGATGTGTAAATTAGGTGGGTCACAGTGGGATGGGTCTGGCTTTGCGATCCTGTTGGGCCGAAGGGCCTGTTTCCACACTGTAGGGATACTATGATGACTGAAAGTAAAAATCAGGTAGGACAAGAGCTTAATAAATAAGAAAATAGGTGTTTCTTCATCTTAACTAGTAATTAGTCAATATACTATATAATATTTTCTATAAGTTAATGAATAGAATGAAGGTTCTGACCTGAGTATTGTTCAAACTTATACTGAAATGCAACACTGACTGAAACATTCATATAACTGATCCTTAAATTCAGTTTTACAAGCTCATTAAGGTTTAAAATTCAAAGTTGATTCGGCTTCAGTCACTGACAGAAGTAATCTCATATTCATAAATCTGTCATGGTTGTTACTATGTTGCTTTTTGGGTACTATTCCTATACTAATGTAAAATTAGCCATTTTAACAATATTAAGATTAGTGCAAATATCAACAGGAGAACAGGGAAGCTTCTATAAAAACAACAAACAATACAATTTTAAATAAACAATGACATAATATACTTTGTGAGTATCGAAGCACATCTTAGTTAATTACAAATTAAGGTATATCAGAAATTAACATCTGAAAAACTGTGATAAACTGTCATGCAATGACACAATCTTTCACTGAAAAGAAAATTGAGAATGCTATGTCATCCAAAATTGATCTAGTTGCTCTGAGTACAGAAAATCAAAAGCATAATTTTTAAAACCAAACTCCAGAAAGTCATATCTGCAGAGAAAATAAATTTACTTCTCAATGCTGCAGTATTGCTGGAATTGCTTATTTATTACTGAAATGTAAAAGCTGTCAATACGCTTGAGTTGAATTCAGCCTTGATGTTCAACTATTTTCAAGCCATTGCACACAATAAGGTGCTGATATGTCATCTGAAGTCTGAACAAATCCAAATGGAAACTGAAGTCGGACTAAGCTGAATCAGACTCTAAAGCTAAATCAGACTCTGATATCCACTTTTAAGAAGTAATCGATTCCCATGGGCTCAAGAACAGCTTTTTTTAGTGGACTATTCAGCGACTAGATTGGGGAAATAATAAACTAAAAAGCTGGTTTCCTCTGGTGTCTTTTCCGAAATGAGCAGGTATGATGCATTATAGCTATTTGGGAATGAACACTCTCATGAAATTGGTCCTTAAAATTAGCATGTCCCAGAGCCTTATTAAAACTGACAAATTCCCTGAGTAGGGGAAACTGCAATCAGGGCCACCAGGAAAATATTGCATATCTGTTCCTTATTTCAGCAGAATGCCAGAGAACTCAAACAGAGACAATTTTACTAGGTCACTGGGGATGCCTGTGCTAGCAATTCCTGCAGATAGTAATTCACTTCCAACACACAAAACACAAAGGCATAACAGAAAAAAACACAAATTGGCCCTCTATGGGTCTATACTGTCACTTTTTTAAACCAATAAGTCAATTTGAATTGGAATGCAATTTTGAAATATTCCTCCATTAGAATAATGTCAGATTTCCGATTTGGAAGTGGCACTCATCTCTACAGCTTCACTTTACTGTCTCCTAAACAACATTTTGGTATTTACATAATGGCGGAAAAGGTGCCTAAAAGATTTCAGTGTCTGTGTTTAAAGCTAAAGCAATCCCTCTGTTTTAAATTACCTAATGAAACATATGTGTCAAACATATATAGGTTGTTCTCATTGGACTGGTAGTGGCTCTTTCCATTACAAACTCTCACAGGAATTCCCAGCATATCCAGTTCCTGGACTATTGTTGCCATGAAGGGGTAATCATTAGCTCCTGTGAGACCCTACATATATATTCAAAATCACCTCTGGTTGGAGTTAGTCTAGTGCTTCCCAAACATATTCTCACTCTGACTGCATTACCAGTCTTGAAAATAGTCGCAGCTCCTCTTTGAGAACTGAGTTTTACCGAAGCAAACACATTTCACAAAATGACTTAATTACTTTCTCATGTTTCATCTTTCATTGGTTCAACACTTTTTTTTTCTCAACTTTTATTCCTCCAAGCAAAATTCTGTGGATCCTGAAAATCTGAAATAAAAACTGAAAATTCTAGAAATACTCAGCAGGTCTGATGGCATTTGTGGAAAGCTAAACAGAGTTAACCTTTCAGGTTTCAGAACTGATGAAAAGTCACAATCTGAAACACTAAATCTGAAATCTGTTTCTCTCCCCACAGACACTGCCAAACATGTGGAGTATTTCCAGAATTTTCTGTTTTCTTGTTTCCTTTTCCTGCCATACTGTGACTCTCTGGACTGAACCATTTGAGCTGTTTGTTACTTACCACCAGGAAAGAAAAAGGGAGCCAACCCTGCACCAAGAGGCGGCAGGACCTGGGATAGTACTTTGCTGTGGCAGAACCAACGCCAATAGTGGATGAAAGGCTGCCTTCCAGAACTGCCAAATGAATCAGTGGGCCAGCTGCTCAGCCTCACCCCTGCTGCACCAACATTAGTGGTTGCATTTCCAAGGCTGCAGGAATGGGAAGAGTGTATATGCGTGCTGAGGCACCTTCAAAGATGAAGTTCATTCTCTTCAGCAAGCTAGGACAGGGCAGGCAGACCCTGGCAATCAAGTATGGTGGTGAGTGGTTTGGGGGGAGGGTGGCTTATTTTAGTGGTGGTACCTTCGTCACAGGGCCATCTGTGGTCTGCGGAGCGGCCAATAAGAGGGCTCCTCACAGGCAGTCTCTCTGTGCCAATAAACAGTAGTGGGGAAAGAGGTAGCATTCTATTAAACATGTATTTTCTTCAGTGGCCACAACATTGGCAATATGCCATGGAAGTGGGAATTGGTTTCATCTCCCACCATATTCCTCTGTCATCCTTATCAGCCCTCCCACCTGCCCCTCCAAAGCCTGTCACCAAGGAGCTACTAAAATACATCCCTGCCCTTTAATCCAATGGTAAAATTGCCATAGTCTTACCAGACCCTAAATCTGCCCTCCCATTAAAGAGGGACAACTGGTGGTGCTTTAATCTTAGGATCAACACACCTCAGGTGAAGAGAGAGGTTAAAGAGAGTCTTTCATGGTAACCTCAGCCAGTACAGGATTTGAACCCATACTGTTAGCTTTGTTCTGCATTGAAAGCCAGCTGTGCAGCCAACAGAGCTAACCAACCTCATCCCTTCAGCAGCACTAAATGATGAGAAAACTGTCTTGGTAAACCATATCACTTGAATTGATCTATTCCTTTAATATATTATTGAGGCTGCTGACATTTTCCAGCATGAATGATCACTACCTAAACCACTGAAAATTGGAACAGCCAGATCACCAGAAACAAGTTAGCAATTTAAAACAAAATGGCCTGTTACAGCCCTATTAATTCCCTTATATTTATACATTATAAGACAGCATAATCAAGTCAGTCACAACGTCACAAATTAAAAAGTTGTACAAATAATAATTACAATGTTGTTATATTTTATAAGCTAATAATGTCTTATTCATCTTTTACCTCAGGTTGTGGTGCTCTGAAATGGGAATGTGGAATAAAAAAACAATTTTTCGTGCTATATCCAGATTCTTCAGATAAAACTGAAAGATATAAAAGGCACAGTATTACAAGCTTTATTTAGAGTTACTTAATTCACTGTTCCATAAAAGAAATTTTGAACATGTAAATAGCATTAAAAGCAAAATATGATATGTTTAGTTTCTGTGTAAATTATTAAACATTAAGAAAGCTGAATAGGTCCTTGAGTCAAACCCAATTTTTCATCTTTGACTTTACACTTGTATTTTAATATGTCTACACTTGCTGAACTAGGTTTTCAAGGGATTATTGATCAACAGGAAGAATTGTTTAATATTTAGGGAACTGTAAAACAATTCAAATGTTTTTGACTCCATACTAATGCAGGGCTAATAAAGATGTATTTTCACAAATGACCCAATGTTGAGTTTGTATAGATGAATGAACAGAGAGTTTGACAAATGACAGCACAGTGGCCTGTACCAAGAACTGGTATGAAAGACTGAAAAATGAAAATAGAAACAGTGACCAAATATACTGTAATGGAATGTCTTGGTAGTCTGATGGTGCAACATGCTGATATACCAGTGTACTGTCTGCATCAATTTAAGACTAATTTGACTTGCCACATGGTCACAGTCAAGCTGCAAGAAGCAGGAGGGGAAAGAAACAGGGTACACTGACAGCTATTTTACCCGCCTCTTAGAAAACAGCTTAGGAACATATGTGAAACAGAATTAGCCAGCCTGTTTGCTTGAAGGTAAAGTCTTACTTTAATGAATAAAACAGAGAATGTGGGAGTCTCCATGATGAGTGACTAATTAATGAAATCCCAAAGACAGCTGAGATTGAAATCTGATTTCTGAGAATATAATTTCATTAATACATGGTTAATTTCAGAAAAAAAGAACAATTTTCCATTTTTAATAAAAAATGTGTTTCAACTCCACAGGTTAGCAAGTGCATAGACATTTAAATGAATCTCAAAAAAGGAGGTCATTTACCTGGGCTCACACATTTTGGATGATAGATTTAGAAAGATTAGAGAGAACGCAAGGAGAAACATTTTCACCAAGGCTGTCTGGAATTTGCTACCCAGATTGGTGGTTAAGGCAGAAACTCTTACTCATTCAGAAGGAACTTGGGTCTACACCAGCCGTGTAACCTGCAAGGCTATGGTATGCTATCCTAATAAATCATGCAATAAATCCAGTAATACTTGGAAATGAACATACTGGACAGTGCATTTTGAGATATCAAGACAAATCAATAACAGTATGTCTCATTTGTTCATTGTTCCGGTTGGGTTAACTCATAACCAGCTCAGCGTCTCTCTCCCACTCCTACAATTTTCACTCTGTGGTCACACAAAGTGTGAAGCACTAGAATGGAGTCACAACAGAGAACAGTTTGAGAAACATTGGCATGGAAACTCTTTAAATAATTCTTAGGTGAAATGTGATGAAGCCAAGGCACCAATGAGGTTGCACATTACTTCATAGGATGCCCTCATTGGTGCAAGGTTCACTTAGGTTCCATCTATCCATAAACCAGATAAAGTCCTCTTCCTGCCAACTTCCAACACAAAACAATCCTGCAAATAAGCAAGCATCATATTCACCATTGCTTAGTGTCAACTTTTGCCTTACCTTTCATCAGAAATGAAAAGGTCACTTGCTAGACAGCAACAGAAATGAATAACAAGAAACAATTGTGGAAACAAATATTATTTATGTGGCGAAAAACTAAAATGGGAACTTGAGATTCTAACATTAACATACCCATGTAAATACATTTATGCAAGTACAGATTTTCTCTCTCTCTCTCTATCTTCCTGACACTTTTATTTATTATAACCTCTGTGGCTCTTTAGCTTCAGCAGAGATGGATGCAGGCTGTTCAGATCCCTGCTCTGATTGCTAAGATGCTCTTGGCTGATGACATCTGGTTTTGGAGACTGAGGGAGTTTCAACAAAGGCTGCATATGTGACAAACTTAGTTATTGAGCCAAATTACTGCTTATGGGGCACATATTGGCACTGGAGAAGTTGGCATTGAGTCTAGCCCACACTCCATGTCCTGTTTTAACTCTCTCAAAGCCCAGTTGTATTTCCCTGCTGGCAATAAATTACATGGCACATTGTTGTGGACTGATGATGTGACCAAGGCCAAGATTTCTAGTTAAACTAATGGTAACATTCATAGGGCGACATTTAATTTCCTATCCTGAAGCAAGATTGGTGTGGGGATTGGGATTGTGGGCGGGTGAGGAGAGGAAGAGTTCCACTTAATCAGTCAGAAGAGAAGGAGGTTCCAACAAATAATGCCTACTTATGGGTCTTATCTCAGTGCCACTGGTATTCACCAGCAGCAGTGGGTGAAGGATTAGTCATATGAGAATGCCAATTTAAAAAAAACCCTGATACCGTTGTTTGCAAACTCTTAGCAGGGGTCCTTTGTTCAGGACAGTTAGTGCCTGAGTGAAAGACCTGCCATCAGGAAGGGGATTCCTTCTCTGAGCAGCTGCCCTGTCTTTTGCTTCCAACTCTCTTCATCTATTCCATGACTCATCTCATCTTGCAACTCCCACCCTGTCATCACTCATCTAAGGTCTGTGTCCTTTGGCAATTGTGGGCCTTTTGTCAGTGTATTGCCAGCAAAGCCACTGCTCCGCAGTGATGGTAGCAAGCAATGCACAGTTGTTCGTGTCTGTCATCAGCTCTTAAGGGGCCAGGATTTTTGAGCCTGGGGTTATTGATTCTGGTAACGGCTTGTCACTGCCTAGCAGGTCTTCCCCAAAGAAAGAAACATAAGGTCACCAACTCCCTAATTAGCAGGTAAGACACTTGTACCACCTTTAAATATCACTTGTGCTGTGATGGCCACTGATGGTGGCCTAATTGCAGTTGTCTGATTGCTGTGTTTGATGTTCTATGCAGATGGCCATTCTTCTCCCAGATAAAGACATTACCACAAAGACTTGTGATACCATATCACTCATGTTTAAGATGGATTCTTTCAATCTCTCTGCAAGCATGTACAATATGCCAGTTCATTGTACAAACTATGGGCATTCTGTAGCATTATCCACTGAGGAACAGCATCTGCATTCAGCTATGCAGAGCTTGGAGTATCCTGTTGCCTCTGACATAGATTATCCAGTGTTCTTCCTGTCTCCACCATCTTCTCTTGCTTATTTATGATGTGCGAGTTGCCAGGTGAATACTTAACTATCATCCTTTCTGAGCTGTTGTCTTGTTTGCATGGTATACCAACAGATCTTAGACCTCCTCTGAGAAGTCACCAATGTCCTCACCCATAACTTCCTACAGAATGCCTTATGACTTTATGAGAGATTAAAGGCATGAATTAGAACTGCCAAAGTGGGAATGCTTTAACTGGTTATTAGACACCTGATCATATTTCACAGCCTGTTTAATCAGGTCAACATTATTCAGTGTTGTACGCATTGAATTCTCTGATATTTAAGTCTGTCAGTGTATGATGATCCCTTTTCCAGCAGTCAAGCATACCAAGGCTTTGCTAATGTCCAGATCTACCTCTTCCGTATCTGTTGGTTGTGAGATGGCTAGAGGTCCCCGTCTGGTACCATGCCTCTCTTTCACCTCCATTTACTCTTCCGTAGCAAGGGAGTGAATCGTATAGTTGAATGGATGAACAAAGAGCACTTATGGACATTACCATGAAGGACAGGCATGACATTGCACAAAACGTGAATGTGTTGGTGGTGGATAGACAGAAGGCATCGTAAGCATTAATGCACAGAGAGGGATGGGAGTATCAGTGAGCTAAACTGATGTGAGGAGTGATGTGTTGAAGTTTGAGAAGGCAGAATGAGGAGGTATATACACATTGGAATAAAGTTAAAAGTGCCACTGTTCTCACTTTTCCCATCCTTCTGACATTATTAAAACGCCACTTCTGTTCAGAGTCCATGAATGTGGGATCACACTCCTGCCTGACTAATAACGTCTGACCATACTTTTCATTTTACTGGCAGGTTTCTCCTCCAATCAATAGTAAACAACATCACTCTGAGGATCCTTATAACACCTGACTTCACATTGATGGAGGCATCAGTAAGACAAGGTGGAACATTTGAATACATGCAATCCGTTCCATCAATTATTTCTAATCCCAACTCCAGAATTTATCAGATTTCATGTTTTTAATGTTGCTTTAAATAATGGAGTTGAAATCAACTCTAGCAGCTTGTCATCACATCCAGTCAAGCTAATTGAATAGAAAAGCCAAGAATAATATGGGAATGCAGTGATTGGGTTGTAAAGTCACTAACTGATATGCTGCACTTACTTCTGGGTTACCCCCTTGCCCTTGCGACTGTACCTTCCCTTTCCTCACTAACTCCCTTTCCCGAGAATCATTTTACCCCTCCCAGCAAGTTAGGAAAAGACAAATTAATATCCCAGCTCCAGTGTGCTTCTTCAGAATTCTGTTTTTTGCTTTCTCGCCACAAATGCTACCACACCTGTTGAGTTTCTCCAGTAATTTCTGTTTTTGTTTCAGATTTCCAGCATCTGCAATTCTTTGTCTTATCTTAGATTCAGCCAATTCTTCAGTAAAGAGGCTTTGAAGGACTCATCCATTGCAAATAGACGTCTAAATATCTTTAAATAACAGGAAAAAGCAAACAGCCATACCTGGTAACAATGGATTCATTATTTAAAATTAAACACATTAATTGTATTGCTTTAATGTCCATTACATAAATATGTATCACATTGATTACAGTGTATTACTATATTACTAAAAGCATTTAACTCAGCAAGAATTCTAATTAACCTTTCCAACCTCTGAAAAGCAAAATCAATGGGACAATATTGAGTCTGTATAAATTTATCTAAAGCATCATTCATTTACATTCCAATATGGAAATAGAGGTTTAAATAGTCAACTTCTTTGTATGTTAAAGAAGCTTAAGATGTTTAATCTGTCTTTACTGTGGTGAAAGATAGATTGATTTAAGATGTTTTGCTCTTCTATCTCAGTCCTTCATCTGCTGTACTACAAATTTACTACA